TGTATCAGCGATGTGTGTGTGTGTGTGTATCAGTGATGTATGCATGTATGTGTGTGTGTGTGTGAGTGTGTGTGTGTGTGAGTGTGTGTGTGTGTGTAAGTGTGTGTGTGTGTGTGTGTGTGTGTGAGAATGTGTACTCACTGTGCTGGGCTTCATACTGTGCTCCGTGATGCTGTAGTTGTTGGCTGCGCCGGTAGCAGCTCTCTCCGATCTTCAGCGCCTGTTTGAAGAGTTTCTCTGCCTCCACGATCGTCGTGGCTTCTTCCTCAGCCAGGAGAATATACGCCGTCGCACAACTACAACACACACAACAGATTCAACACTAAACATTCTTGACCATTAAACACACACATTTACACTGGACAACAACGACAACAACGAAACGTGCTGAGAGAACATTACTACAGCACGTACATATTTCACAAGCCACAGGATGGAGTAAATGGAGTAATGTGGGCAGATTCATCTATCAGTGAATGAGTGAGCTCACGTCTGTCAGCACAGAAACACACTCACTCCTCCAGATCCAGAGCTTCATGAGCGGCTGTGATCCGAGCCTGAGGATTCCTCTCTCTCCAGGCCTTCTGCATTACTGTCAGAACACACACACACACACACACTCTTAGCCACAGGTCCTCCAGACACTGACAGTGCGCTGAATGCTCTGGATGTTGATGGTAATGCTGCTCTTACTGGTGTCTGCAGGCCGCAGGTGATCAGAATCACACGTGAAGAAGGTCTGATGATCTTGTGCCGACAGATTCATGTCGTAGTATGTGAGCGGCTCTCTTCCCGTCACCCACGTGTATCTGCAGCAAACACATTCACATCAGCATCTCAATGCAGCTCACAATTCTCATCAAAACAAGAAAGAAATCAGCCCCGATTCGAACACAGCATTTGACAGACAGGTAAAGATTCAGGCTTGCTTTTGCATCAAATGAAGCACTGAAGAGGCTCTGAGACATTCACTCACCGGTTATATTCAGCTCCTCTGAACAGATTGAGAGGATTTCGCCAAACCTTACACTCTAAACACACACACACACACACACACAAAACATTAGCAAATACACACGGACTATATCTGAGTTTACCTAGTAAGTGATTGATTAACAGCTAACCACAGTGTGTTAAAGGGGTCATGACATGAGAAATCAAATTTGCCTTGATTTTTTGGCATATAAGAGGTCTTTGAACCATTAAATCATCCTGCAAGTTTCATAGCTTAAGACGTCCTCCTCATTATTAACAAAGCATTTATTTAATCATCAGTGTTTCAGCCGCGCAAATACGTCAATATAAAGTCTTGTAAACAATGTCACGTAACGTCACATTTACCTCAGAAATATATATTCGGTGACCATAAACTCTTTAGTCAGATAGAAAAATAAAATGTAGAGAGGGGCATTTTGCTAAATATATGCACCATATAACATATTCATTATAAATTTTACTGTTCTTCAATGTTTAATTTATGTTTGAATAAATCCATAACGTTTTTATGACAGCCACCATTATGTTTATATTTTAAAAAAACGAATTGAAGTAGAAATATTATTATGTAATTGTAACTTTATTATTTTAAAAACTTCATTAAGTGTAATTTTAACAAATCAGTCCATTTTAACCTTCATTATTATAGTAATGTAGTACCAACTGACTCTCATGTATATTTTACAGCATTAGTTGAGAGATTTTTTTTCCTTGAGAAAATTTGGCATGTACTGTACCTGATATATATCCAAAATAATCCATATTGAATCAAATCGAATCGAATCGCAAGCTTGTGAATGAGAATCGAATCGTGAAATTTGTGTCAAAACCCAGCCCTAATAAATACAGTAGTATACTTTAGTGTTTACTACAATGAACTGTAGTGCATTGTAGTATAATATACCCTATAGTTGTAGAACACTTAGTACAGCATTGGGTAAAGTAATGTGTTTATATTACCATAGTTGTTATATTACCACAGCAACTATAGGATTACCACAACACATTAATTCAAGTACTTTACTATAGTATGGTTCAAAAACACTATAGTAGTTACTATAAATTACTATAGTATTTTTTCACGTGGGAGTGTTTGACAGGAGTGAATCAATCTCACCAGTATGAGTCCAGAAATGAGGGATGAGGTGCCCGTCAGCGCCACGTAAAACTTAGGGGTCAGAGTGTTGAGGAACATGCTCACTGCAGAGAAAACACCAAAACAGACGAGTTTAGAGAACAAACGCATCAGATCCACACTGAGACAAAAGCAGTCGAGTCATTCTTCAAAATATCTTTGGTGTTCCGCAGAAGAAAGAGAGTCTCATGGGTTTGGAAAGGCATGATGGGATGTTTATTTCTGTGTGAACTTTCAGTCGATGAGAGCGACAGGTGATCATCACGTGACGGCGATGGGTCTGAGAGCCGCTGGGCTTCTCTCGGCCGAACACACGGCGGCCGTCTGACCGCAGCTGCGCTCATTCATCCAGCGGAGAGCCACTCCAGCACAGACGCGCCATTCATGAAGCCCACACTCACTCAAACCAGCCGTCACATCAGAACGACATGCGGTCAGTAATCAGCATATTAGAGTGATTTCTGAAGATCACGTGAGACGGAAGACAGGAGTAATGATGCTGAAAATACAGCTTTGATCACAGGAATAAATTACAGTTTAACAATTTAATTCACACAGAAAACAGCTATTTGAAATTGTAATA